TGAATAAATGCATTAGAAAGGAACTGTTTTCTAACATGTTCGCACTCGGACCTACTAATATTAACACACAAGTACAATAATGAATAAGTTAAAATCACATACGTATAATGAGTGATATAGAAATGAATAAATGCATTAGAAAGGAACTGTTTTCTAACATGTTCGCACTCGGACCTACTAATATTAACACACAAGTACAATAATGCAGTATTGTACTAATTATACAATTATATTTCAATATTTTTAATTTCCTAAAATTCACATCGTCTTCGGTTGCGATAGGGTTAGATAATTTTAATTAAAGTCTAAAATCATGACCATGCTCGCTTTACAAACTATTTGTAAACAAATTAACTTTTTGGAATTTTGTTCTAGGGCTTTATACAGTGCATTTACTCTTCCGTACTTTCAGAAGCCTTTGTGTAAGTATTATAAGAACTATATTATATTTCATAAGTTTCTTTAAAATGCGTAGTTATTGTAAAGCAAGCATTATCTGGTTCTTCTTTTTATGCCCCCTATTGGCACTGCGGCATGTCTGCGGCCTTACAACACTAGAAACCGGGTTTCGATACCAGTAGTGGGCAGAGCACAGATAGCCCATTGTGCTTAACTTCGAACAAACAAATCTTCTTTTTATAAGTATTAATTAAGAGTTTGATCTATAGGTATGTACTTGGTGTCGTTATTTGATGCTTGGTCTTCAAAAAATTTAGAATGAGAATTACTCAGATTTTTTTTCTTTAAACGTTTAGGTTATATATGCAAGCTTATCAAATATTACTATATCAGATAGTTCTGGATCCAGTGAGTAAGGTTACTTACTTAATTTTGTGTGTGCAGTGTTTACGTTCCAAAACGTATTAAAAGGTACATTCGTTTAGAAATATGTAAATCCTTATTTTGTTTTGATAGCCAATGAAAGTTAAAGTTCAGTAAGTTTTGTTGTATTTAAAAACTATTGTACAGGTGTAAAATATTTTAACTGCTTTAATTTATTTAGTACTTAATTTTCAGCAAATCAATTTTAACCTCACCCCAAAAAAAATGTGCACTTGAAAACCAATTATAAAAGTATTGTAATAACTAACCTTTTTGATGTGCATGCATTTCAATATAAAACACAAAGTAATTTTTTTACACATTTTAAACATGTAACATATGTTTAGTATAGTAATGTAGAAACGAAAGTTAAGTTACTTTTCGAAATTCATGAACATCATGAGTTTTCCAACAGTTCAATTCTAGCACGTTTTATGCCATTTTTGGACATATAATAAATCATAATGTAGGTATGACCGTCACATTATAACGCCCCCACGGCTGAAAGGGCGAGCATGTTTGGTGTGACGGAGATTCGAGCCCGCGACTCTCAGATTGCGAGTCGAGCGCCTTAACCACCTGGCTATGCGAGGCCTAAATAGCTAATTAGAAAGTTCCATTTGATGTGTATGTAATACATTAAAACATCTTTATGTTCATTTATGTATATCTTTTTTTCTTTAACATTTAACGTCAGTGATTTTATTTATCTATTCAAGCAGTTACTGAGGTTGATAAGTCATAACGTGCACACAGACCAACAAACAACGGCCTTGCTGGCGAAATGACACTTGATACAGTTGCGTGCTAAATGATCTAAATCTAACAGTTCTCTACCTTTTCATATCATACTTGAATATGATAATCAAAATTATACACAAGGCAACAAAATATATAAAATCAGGAAATGAATTGTTGCGGAAGTTATTCAACAACATCTTTCCTTCAAGCAACACATCACCATGCTAAGCTTTTATCTGTTTATTTTTTCGGATCTCTAGTTGCGTTTGCTACTCTAGAAGCCAAACTGGATTATACAATTGAAACCAACACTAACACACACACACAAACAAGAGTTTTCATTACGTTTTTTAGATCACTAGCTTATTAAATCTTAAAGCTGAGATATGAGTAGTAATATCATACCATGGCAACGGAGGTTGAGAAAAGCGACTGGCTAAAATCGATAAAATTACACGTTTGTCGAAGCTACAAGGTTCAAATTGGGCTATTTTGTTCAAAATATTATGACTTCTTCTTGGGGTTATGAGTATCGTATTATTTTGAGAAAAAAATTCAGGAAAGTCACAAATACTCATGTATGGCATTATGAAAAACAAATTATGGATCAAAATTACGCAACTGAAAAACAAAATTATTCAATAAATTTCACCGCTTCAGTTTTTTCTTTTGTGTGTGTGTCAAGTAGAAGTTTGTTAGTTATAACAAAAGAACATTGAGCTATCTACCGTGCCCACCGCAGGAAATTTAATAAACTTCTATAAACTTCCCGCAGTCCCACAGGGGGGACGAGGTGTGGAAGAACGATCCAATTTTATTTTCTCTCATTTTTTTTAAACTTTATATTGCAATTCTGCCATTGGGAAATCACTGCATTCAAGCGAGTGCTACAGATAATAATATTTGTTAGCTTGAATCCTATGAAAAACACAAGAACCTTTTTATTTGATATCTACCAGAATATTTAAGTTCCATTAAATATTAAAAGCACTTACCTTCCCACAACTTCCTACTGATAGAAAATGCCAACTCAAGTGTCAGACAAGGGATTATGCATTTTCCCTGAATTAATACTTTATTTTAAGTATTTATTAACAGTAGCAATAAGTTATGATAGATAACGTATTACTTTAACTGAGTGCGGTTCTACTTCATGTTCTAATGTTGTTCTTTAATTAATTGGACTGGTTCTTTTCAATTATTTGGGGAAAATAAGTCCCGTCCACGAAAATGGTTTTTTTCCTTAACGTTCTACAAGGTAGTACACTGTTGTACTTGTAGGCCTCAATTAAAAAAATGACGTTCCCTAGTTAAAGTCCTGACTGACATCTTCATTCTTCACATTCACGAGAGCTTTTCCAAACATAAAATATTCAGAATATGCCATAGTATATATACTGTGAAGTTATTTCAAGATAGCCTAACCTTGTCTCCACAGTCTCTGTTTCAGTCAGATGAAAGGAGGATGCCATACTATGTAGATTGGCATGAAAGTTGGGGTTCTACCTATACGTATAGGTATCATACTTTATCAGGACAAGGATTGCAGAAAAAAGGTGGACAAGCTATATAATAGTTGTTGTTTTAGAAGCCACAAGGATGTTTTAACACACATAGACCCAGCCTCACAATGTACCTTGAACAATGTCACGAGAACAAAGTAAAAAATTATTATGACCCTGAAGAAAAATGGGTAGAGTACAGAGTTAATTTATAGGAAAATGATGTTGGTTAAAAAAAGAATAAATCTTCTTTTACTGGTGCTCTAAATAAATTACCCTTAAAATCTACCTTTGATAAGAACAGGGAGGATATGTTGTTGGAAAACTTCACTGATAGTCTCCCCAGTGAGGCATTGTGCCATTAACTACTCACAATATGGTACTCAAATAAACTTGGACTGTCAGTGATGATTTGTTCATAACAGTTTGTCAGGATAAGATGTTCAAAGAACACGTCAATAACCAGTTAAAGAAATCCTAAGCCATGATAATGGCAAACTCCACAGTAAACAAAACATCCACCAGTTCGGAAGTGCAGCTCTGACATAACTGTGATACATTCTCAAATGAAGCAGAGATATTGAAGCAAATTGCCATTTATGTCAGTTGTATAAATAACCTCAAAGTCCTAAGAAATTGAGAATGCCTACCTTAATAACTGTAAACAGGACATCTGAGTTGAGTAGTGTTAAGGATTCCTCTGGTAAAAATACCCAAGAATCAGTCTTCATTCAAAAAAAAAAGAAAACAGACCAACAAAAATGCTCTGTAAAAACCACTAAGATTTGGTACAGGAGTTGCTTGGAGTGTGTGAAATTTAAGCTATCATGGAGCTTTCTAACTATGGTAAACACTTTATTTACTTGATATCTGAAATATTATTTACAAGATTTACATCTAATTTATGATGAAGAGGAGTTTCAATTTAATTATGACCTTAGAAGATTTGTTTATTTTTGCAACAACAATTAAAAATGTGATCAGTCAGTAAAACTAGTTATTGCACTATATGCATATAATTCATTGTTACTTTCTCTTCTAATTAACAACTTTAAAAAAAATTTTTGAATCTGATATTTCAAATACACAACTAAAAGTTTTTTCTAGTTAAAGTTCAGGTAGACAGCTGTTACTTGTGGATGATAGATTACCTAATATTTTTAGTACATTAACAAGCTCAAATACAAATCCTTTCACTTTTTAATTAATATTGGCAGCTTATTCAACTTATAATACAAACATGTAATTTTATCTTCAATGAAGAAAAAAGTTCAGATGATGAAAGAGAACCAGTTTACTTCATTATCTGTTAGCTTACATGAAAAACACATAAGAGTAATTAGGAAATAACTGCTGCACAATTATGAAAATGAGATCACCAACTAATAATAAGGGAAGATAAACAAAGAATTATTTGTAGGAGCTCAAATTACTTTAAAAATATTTTAAAAATTATGAAGCTCGATGATGAGGAATCCACTTTGAGACTAATAATGGTTGGAGACCGCTTGAATGGGTAATGAAGAAAAACCTTGT